AATAATAGTTACTATCAATGCCTGCTTCTTGCCAGCCTTATTGGATGCCACAACCTCTTCTTTGTGTGTGCCTGTCCTCATGAAATGATGCCTTGCTATGCCAAATGCTCTGCTGTGGGGTTGTTTTTTTCATCCTTAAAGACGAAAAAGGGCATTACAGTAACCCACAACCTTTAAAAACATTTGTGAGTAAAGTGCTTTGGGCTGCCTGGCTGGGAGATGTTATGCAAGTGCAGAGCATTCTTCTTATTTGATGGAGGTCCTTCAGGGTTAAATTCTCCTTCTGCCTTTTAAAGAGTGGAAATAACCAGCATGAGAATGCTCAAGAGCATGGGTCAGACTAGCCTGGATGTGAAAGATGCTGCAACCATCTGGACCCCTTGTGCAGTTGCTGGAGGGAGGCCAACAGGCAAGGGAGCCTCATCCCTTCATCCCTCAGAGGTGCCAGTCTCTCCATTGAGCCCCAGGTGACCCCAGCAGACCAGTGCTTGGTTTTAGAGAGCTGCAGCTGGAGAAACAGCTTCCAGTCCTGCTCCTTTCTGCTGGGCCTGCCATGGGAATAAACCACGAGGTTTGGAGCAAAGTCCTTGCACCCTGCAGTGCTGGCAGGGGGCAGAGAGCTGTTGTCCATCTTCCCTTTCCACCTTCCTCACCTGCTTTTGGGCTCCCCAGAATCCATCTCCAAGATCTCACCCAACATCAAGGACATGGGACCAGCCCCCTCACCTTCCCCTACAGCAGCTAGAGGGGGATGATGCCTTTTCCAAATGGGATCCAGCTGCCTATAGGCATCTCCTTGGGGATGGGAGGATCTGCACCTAGAATCACCTGCCCAGGGACCAGCAACACCTTGGTTTGCTTATATGCAATTCACCCACCCATTCCCCTCAGCACCCCTGGGGATCAGTGGGACCTTCACCATGGCCACATCACCTCCGAGGTCCTCTCCAGGGATGATGTGTGAGCTGAGTCGGTCCATCCAACTGATCCTTTTGTAAACCTGGACAGTATGGGGTTGTATCTGCTGTTGCCTCCTTCTACAACCAGCAATGTATTATCCCCGGAGCCAAAGCTGGTAAGCTGCGAGATAAAAACGCTATTTCTGCCCAGGATTTCTGCAGCTGCCTCTGAGCATTTGCAGCCACTTGCTAGTTATTAAGGCTCAACTCTGAAGAACCGTGTTCCTTCGGCAGAGATTTGCCTTTAATTAGCCAAGGAGAAAAGGACACTGGAAGACAAGCCCGCGCCTAGGCGGAAAGGCTGCGCTCTCCACGCTGCGCCGTCGGCAGTTTTTGGTAGGCAGGGAGCAGGTGCCTGGCAGAACAGATTTGTTCTGCTTCCCTTGCCTGCCCCCCACCTCCATCTCTTCCTTAGGAAACCGTGTCCTTGGGGCCTGCTCCTGCCCGGTGCCTGCGGTCCGGAGGAGGGATGGCAGGAGGGAGGTGGAGCAGGATGACCTTGGCATCTCCGTCTCCCCGAACCCCAGCGCTGCTCTTGGCAGGAGCTGATTTGGGCTGCATTAAAGCAGCAGCAAAAGCAGCTCCCCCGGTTTGCAGCAGCTCTGGGGTTTCTCTGCTGTAGTGCTCGATTCCCTGGGGTCCCTGTGAATGCAGCAAGCCATGCTTCAAACCAACAACTTCCCCAAGACTCGCCTGCATCATCATGGAGTTCTGGCCGGGACCAATGCCCCCATCTCCTCTGCTCACCCAGGGAAGTGAGCAAGCTTTGCCCCAGTGACAGCCACAGAGAGCAGGAGGGGGCAAACCCCTTGTAAAGCCTTTGGGAAATCTCCCACACACCTTGGATCCAGCTTCCCCCACTGTTTGTTAGGATAAATAACTGAGGCAGTCTCACTGTGGATCTTCTGGCATATTCCCAGCACAGCACACTGTGATGTCCAAGCAGGATCTTGCCTTCCCCATCAAATCAAGGTAACATTGGAGCAAGGGGCCTAAATATTGGGGTAGCTCTAAATATTTGGGTAGAGCTGACTTCAATCCTTGGTTTACACCCCATTATTTCATCTGCTTCATGGATGCAGCACTTCAGCATACTCTGTCCTGCACCTGTAGAAGCATAGGTTTATGATTCTTTAATATACCCAGACACTGCTCTCATTTGCCTAAAGCTCCCTTCTCCTGCCCCCTACACTGTGCCAGGCTGCAGAGGAGAGCACTGCTCCCAGGAACAGGTTTTTCAACACCCAGCACAAATGCAAAGGAGGGAGAAGAAGGAGTAAGGAGAAAGTGGGAAGCAGAAAGAGGGACCTGGCCTGATTTCCAGCGCTGTGGGATAAATGTGCATCTCAGCAAGAGCTGTGCAAGTGTCAAGCCTTTGCCTAGAGGTTACCTAAAGATAGGCTGTGGGAGCCTCACTTCACACCCACCTTACAAGTTTTATGTGCCCAACTGCTTGGTTAAGGCTACTCCGGATCGAGGGCGCTGCAGCAGCCATGGCTTGAATCTGCATCCACAGAGCATCACCAGGAGAGTGGCAGCATCCCAGGTGTGGGGTCATTTTCCTTTCCCTGCTCTCAGCATCTCACTTAATGGCCTCTTCGCAGCTCTGGTTTGGGATGTGCTTTCAGGATCCACTTTGCCAAATGGAAGCGGACTCGCTAACAGTCAGGAAGACTAAAAATTCCACTCGTCCCTGGAGCACAGGCAATGGGCTGTAATGGGGTCTGAGCATCCTGAACTTTCCAGGACAATTGATAGAGGTAGTGCTTTCTTGGCACTTGCATCTCTTCCTTCCTCGATGTAAATGAGCTGGATTTTGAGGGCTTTGAGCCCTTCAGCAGGGTGAGGAGCGTTTGCAAAGGTGTGTGGCGTGGTGCTCCTCGTGACAAAGAGCATCGCTGCGCCTTGGAGGTCTCTTTAATTTATGAGCTCTGGAGCAAATTCATGAGGGTTTTCATGGGGTTTTGCCTGGCAGAGGCAACACTCAGCAAAGAAAGTGGAGGAAAGTAGGTCATTTAGCAGAGGCGTAACCAGCCAAGGCTGCGCTCAGCAGGGACCAGCCGCTCGCCGCAGTTGGGATCACAGGCTGGGAGCTGCTCATGGTGGGGCTGGAAGGGCTGCTCGAGCACAGGGAGGCCTCCGTGCCTGATGGTGTCATTCTTCCACCCCTCTCCTTGTCTCTTTGAACAGTGTAAAAGCAGAAGCAGCTCGGCTGGCAGGAGGATGCAACACCTCTGATGGCATCTCCCGCATCCTCCAAGCAGGGCTGGATGGTGCAGCACGCTGATAGACTGGCAATTTAAAATCATTACTGTAGCTGCCTTGCAGTCTCCTCCTGCCAGCTCTTCAGAGAGCCTGTGCAGAGCAGACGAGTCTGCAAACTCCTTGTACCACTTTGTGTTTAGATATTTATGAGGCCACAAGCCTACAGGATACAGATAAGGGAAAGGTTTGGCATCTGCTGGAGCCGGATGGAGCTTCTCCTGGGCTTGGAAATGGGGCTGAGGAACACAAAATGGCCTAGTTTGAGGATTGTTTCCACCCGGCATTATAGCAAACACAGTGACATTTCGCTCAGGATGCATTGCTCATAAACACTTATGTTACTTTTTGTGCACTCCAATGGCTTTCTGTACTTAAATGTTCAGAATTGGCTGCTCTTAAATACCTCTTCTCCTCCTGACAACATTCAACCATGGGCTCAGACACTTGTGTATACATTCTTGCTGTCCCAGTATTGAGCTAAGCTTTGCAGGTTGCTAGGGCCTTTGTAAACAGCTTAGCAGGATGCATTACAGATGGGGAAACTGAGGCACTGATTGGGAAATTATATCCCCTGGCCTTAGAAACACTCAAACCCAACGACTCGGGCTCTAAGCCCACACCAGGGGCTCCTCCATCAGCAATAGGAGGGATCTGGGGGTGGTTCAGATGGAGCTTTAGCACTGCTGTGCTAACCCTTGGATTAGAAGGTAGTGCCACTTCCCAGAGCTGAGCAGGACCAGCCCATGCCATAGGAAAAGGATCTCTTCTGACATTTCATTCTCCATCCCATGAGCACAGAGCTACCCCAGCAAGAAGGGAAGCGCAGAGCAGTGGTGTTGCCTGTGAGAGCCACCAAGCAAATAGGCAAACCCCAAAACACAAGTACCAAGTGCCCCCAATGCCTTCCCTGCCCTTTGCTGCTTCAAGACCCTTGTAGGAATGGTGAAGACAAAACAGCAAGAGAAAACACTGATGTGATTCTTCTAAGGGATGGAGCAACCAAACCATTCATCTGCGCTTCTCAAACCATCCCAGGGAATCCATCCCCATTCCCTGCCCCATTCTCCATCCTCCTAGGGACATCTCTGGGGACACAAGGGTTGTAACACCACAGAGGACGTGCTACTAGCACCATCCTTGCTTGTTTGCTTCTCCCTCTTCCAAAAGGGATCACCAGCTTCAAAATAAGACCTGTTGGGTACCTGCAGGTTTATCCCCCAGCACCCCACGTTCCCTGTTACCTGCATGGACATAGAATCCCAGCCTGGTTTGGGTTGCAAGGGACCTTAAAGCTCCTCCAGCTCCAACCCTGCCACAGGCAGGGACCCCTTCCACTGGAGCAGCTTGCTCCAAGCCCCTGTGTCCAACCTGGCCTTTAGCACTGCCAGGGATGGGGCAGCCACAGCTTCTCTGGCATGGTCAGTATCTAAGTTGGCAGAGTGGAGAATGATGGGGAACATGGGCTTGATCCTGGCTTCAGCCTCTTCCCCTCCGCCTGCATTGCTGATGGATCCCATACACTCCATGCAGTGATTCCATCCTTGCTGGTGTCCATCACCAAGACCCATCAGCCCCTAGCAGGGGGTTTCCCCTTCCAGCATTCCCCGTGGACTGGCTGATGATGGAGCATCAACTGATTTTTCCACTCTTCAGGCTGTTTCTTTTCTGACAGAAGGTTTAGACGTGCAGAAAAAAACCCACCCAGACTACCAAAAATCTGGCTGTTTGTCTTTCCCTTCCCATCCTCCTCCCCAGAACCGATACCCAAATCACTCCTCAATAATATACATATTTATTTCCTCTTAATTAGTGCTGATATTTACAAAAATTGTGATACTCTGTGAAGAATAAATTATATACACTCATGAGAAACCAGACAGCAAATGCTCAGTTGGGCTATGTATGTACACAGATCTGTATACCTATTTACAATGGTCAGCCTTATTGACTGGGGTGCCTCTCACCCTGTTATCCACCCGACCCCCAGGCACCGCCACGTTGTCAATAAGAGCAGTAATGTCTATACACACTGTGCAATTCAGATACAGCTGGTGTCTAAAGTTTTTGTCTAGCAAACGCATGGTTAAATGACTTGAAATAATTCCCACGAGTCCTTCTTTAACAGTTTATAGGCCTCTCTCCATTCCTGGTCCCATTTCTCTCGTAACCATGGAAACAAAAGGTTCAGCTCCAGCATCCTTAGGATGAGTCCTTCTTGGATTTCCTCTTGCTATCGATTCACTCAAATTAGGCACCGCGTACAGGGTTGATCCAATACCCATTTTTATCCCTTGTGCTTCAGTGGATGACATTGGAGGACAAGAGTGAAGTCTCAAGCAATGAGGGAGCAAGTGCAAAAGGGTAATTTACAGTCTTAGAGGCAGCAGAAGATTGAAAATAAAAGTCAAAAATCAAAGAAACAAACCCCAAAATACCAATCCCAACCTCAGGACAACCAGGCAGGGCTGGGGAGGAGATAGAGTCCCCATGAGGGTCCATGTGTGTGGACCTTGTGTGGTTACATGATGTCCAGCAGTTCCTACAAGCCAAACCATCCCTCTTCTGAACTAAAAACATGGATAAGGGATTTATCTCTCAACACACACAACTGGGCTGGGGGATCTTGTCCCCGGGTAAAAATCAGTGCTGTGCTCTCAGGGATGATTTACAATGCTGGAGGATGGTTCCTCTCCCCTGTGATGGGATGCATCAGGGTCAGAGCATCCATTCCAGAGAAGGGGGCATGAAATTTGAGCAGCCAAATGGAGTAACCTCATGGTGAGACCAAGGCTGGAGAAGGGCAGTGCTTTGGCCAGGGGCAGAACAGTGGCTGGTGCATGGGGGCGACCATTGCTCCCACTCAGGGCCCCTGGCAGGGGACAGCAGCTGGTCCCCAGTCAAAGAGACCAAGGGATGAACTCAGTCTGAAAGAGGTCAAATGCTGCCAGGGGTGCAGGGACCAAGCCATAGCCTTATTTTGGGTGCAAAACAAAATAGTTTGGGTCTGACTTCTTCTTTCTTCACCCCTCAGCCCCTTTCACCCTAGCAGCATGCTGATCAGCTCCCACTGACTGAAGAAACCCCTGGGACACCCCCATGGATGCAGATCTTGAAATAAACCCACTCCAGTTCCAAAACAGGGAGCTGCCACCACCCTGGGACCAAAAGCCAGCATGGTTCAAGGGACTTAAAATACGAACACTACAGAAATAAACCCTGAAAACCCAGAGTACTGCAGCGCTTGAATTCAGCTAAATCCCATCAACTTCTGCTTGGCTTTCCCTGCACATCACAGGAACAGTCGTGACAGGCCCAAGCTGGGGATTCGGGATCGAGAGCAGAGATGCTGCAGAGCTGCTGGTCTGCAGAGGGATGCACGGAGCCGATGCCACCAGTTCTCAGGATGCTCCACTTCCAAGGCCAGATCCAGATCTCCTTTGCTTGGGCCCGTCCCTAGGTGTATTGCCAGCTCTGGTAAAGACTTTGGTAGCAACTTCAAGGGCTGACCCAGCAATTATCTGATAACAAAGCAAGTCCCTTCCTGAAATATCTCCTCCTCCTCTCTCTTTTGCTCTCCTTCTGTGTATTTATGCACAAATATGCCCATATTTATACACCCACGTGCTACACTCTCATAACAACAATCTAGAGATCCTTTGCTTCCTATAGCTCAGTGTTCAGATCTGCAGGACTCTGACACAGAACATCACTGCAGAGATCAGGTTTTCCGATAAAACACATTGGCCCATATAGATAATTTTTCCCTCATCACTTAGTGGTGTCCAGCTGGTAGATGAGCCTCAGCTCATTGCCCTTAGCAGAGATTTGGGACATATTAAAGGGCTGATGGGTTGCTTGCAGGCTTGGGCATGTGCTTGGGTGTTAGAAGACAACCTGCACTATAATCACCATTTTCCATCTCTCCAAAAAACCATGCCACAAAGGATAAAGCTAAAATACAGGGGCTTCTCCTCTGGGTGCCAAGCCAGGAGCACCTCCACAAACCAGAGGGATCCTCTCCTCCATCTCACCCCTGGAGAGAGGCAAATATCTCCATGGGAGGAGGAAAGGAACCAGACACCTACGTTAAGTGGCCTGATGCAATCTAACACAGATGGTGGGACCCTCGCCTTCCCCAGTCCTTAATTTAGCATCCTCAGGCTGAGCTGCTCTGCAGCACATTTTTGCACCCTTTCAGAGTCAAGGGGAGTTTTGGAGGCTCAGCATCTCTGCAGAAACAGGCCCAGAATCTCCCAAATCAAATTCCTCAAGAAAAAATAAATAAAAGAGAAAAAGAAAACCCACAGTCTCCTGAAAAACTGGTTCAAGATCACATCAGTGAGTCAGAAGCAAAGCTAGAAATAGCACTAGAGCTCCGACCTGCAGGCACAAATCCCATTAAAAGCTATAGGGAAACCATTTGTCTGTGCAGGAGAGAGACTGGACCCTTCTGCTTCGTGCAGCCTCATGGACTGCCTCCAGCCACGGCCTCCATGGACCTTTCTTGCCCCAGACCAAACATCCAAGCACTTGTCCGGGTGTTTTCCTGTTTTCCCAACAACAGACCAGCAGTGTTATCCCACCAGGGCTCATTTTCCCCAGGAACATCTGCCTGGGCCTATGCAGGAGGTGCAGAATCCATCCTAAGGAAGGGACTGCCCATGCTCCTGTTCCAGGAGGAACGTGGCTTCTCACTCTTTGGGCCCATTCATCCCTGCAATGCGGCTCTGGGCATTCCCAAAGCAGCCCGGACCTCCCAGCTTGGTGAGTGGGTTTGATGTGCCCCATCCTGCTCACACACCCACTTTCCTTCCTGCCCAGCCTGGGAAAGCCATGGACACCATACCCAAACCAACACCACCTCAAAACCCCAACATCTTCCTCCTTACTGAACCACAACAGCTCCCCCCAAATCACCCAAAACCTAAGGCATTAAACAACCAGTGCAAAGTCCCATTGAGGGTCAGCAGCTCCTCAAAACCCCTGCAGCAACCAGCCCTTGGCCTTGGTGCTTTCCCACACCCCAGGGATGGGATCACCCAGCGCTAAGAGCACCCAAGGGTGGGAAGGCAGAATCCCGGTGCACCAGGCAGCTTCCCTGTGCAAAATCATATCCCTATGGTCCCAACACAAGCTGAATCAATGGAGGCTGGCCAGCTGCCCTGGGAATTGTGCCTGACGCAGTGGCTCATGCCAGCCCCATCCTATTTGATGAGCTTCAGAAGCAGAGATTTATTGCTTTCGGTTGCATTGCTTCTTTTGTGTGTTTTAAGGTGTTAACAGGCTTCAGGGACTCCCATTTCTGAGGTGCAGCAGTGAAGAGGGAGGAGAGGGATCCTAATGTAACCAGATATAATTAAAGACAGGCTGAGGGTCCCATGCTGCGTGGTGCTGAGCACCTTTGAGACCCAGCACACTGATGTTGCTGGTCCTCTGCACCAAGCAGCAGCCAGGACTCTCGTGCACTAAGTGGACACTTGGTATTAATTATAGCCTGGTGTGAATCAATCGATCAATCAGGTAAAAACGAGGAGTGATTCCACCTGCCCAAGTGGAGCCACATCAGCACAAGGGATGGATCCAGCCCCCGAGCAGCGTTTGGAGCCATTGCTGTAGAATACGCTAGCACCGTTTGGGTTATTGTTATTAGTATGGGTTTCCTCTCTGAGCTCAGGATGGGGCTGATTGAAACTCCCTCTGCACGCTTCCCCTGTGCCCATACTTCACAGCAGTACAGCCCTGACCATGCAGGAATTCAGCACAAATTCACCCCAACTCAACAGGCTGCTAAACCCCATCCCATGCCCCTTGAGGGAAGCTTTGCTTGACCATGACCTTGGACGTGGTTTGCATCCCTCTCTCCTGACCTGGCAGAAGAACAGATACACATCCCTGGGGATTGTCAGTAGTGGGGGGAAACACAAGAAAGGGCAGACAGGGATGGGGAAATCAGATGAGATCTTCCTGGACATACACTTTCCACCTATCCCCAAGGAACACCAGGATGAAGAAGAAGCAGAGACAACCTCAGGGTCTCTGCACCTTGACTCACCCCTCCTAAAAACCTTGGGAGAAGGCAAAGCAGAGGCTCAGAGGTACCAGCTCAGATCCAGCCCCCCCTTAGCACGTGCCCTCTCCACCATAAAGGAACAAAACACCAGCCCTGAGGTTCTACATGATTGCAAAGGAATTTTCCAGCCTAAAACACACCCTGCCCATGGGTGCCATAGGGCAGGTCATCCTGCTCCCAGCCCATGTCCCACCATCCAGCATTCCTGCACTGAGAAGGTCCCAATGCTCCAAACACTCACATTTGCTGAGGATTTGGCCCTATAGTCACTCTCTAAATATCTATACACACACACACACTAATTATATGGGGAAAGGCTGAAAACTGCTGACCAAACAAGTCAAGAAAGCCAGTACCTGCTTTTCCACCTGCTCCTCGTGCCCTCTCTGATCCACTGTGGGTTTCTGCTCCTGAAACCAAGATTAATGACTAATTACGCGCCCTATAATGAGTGCAGGTGTTTAACTTTCAGCTCACCTTCTCTCTCTTGCATTAGTTGGCCCTTGTGTCTGGCTGCTCAGAAACTCAGGCTTTGCCTTGTTATCTATCAAACTGTTGTCAGCACATGCCTTCCCCATCCAGGTTTTAAATCTAATGGAGAGTTTTTAACTCCCATGAATCTCCTTCAAGCCACCGGAGAATCTATAAACACTATAAACATGAATACTGTATAGTCTACTAAGAAAATAGATATTTGTGTGTGTATTAAATATTCAGATTCATGCAACGAATATCCATGCAGCTGTACTGTATTACTGGTTAGATTTCACTGCAGTATAAATATATTATAGGCCACAGCATAGTTGCTCCTGTTTTCATATATATAGATACCAAAAAAAAGATGCTTTTTCCAACTCATTTTCAATGTGTCAGTGGAGGTGTCTTTGGTGATCCTGGAAATATTGGTGATGGAAGTGGCATCTAAAGAGAATATTTCAATCCAAGCGCTTGATTTATTTACTCATTCCTCCCGATGCCTGGCATAGAAAATGTAAGACTTAATAAATAATGTGTCTTCATACTAATTATCCCTCCCCTGGGCCTCACACTGGCATACTGCAGTGGCTCCAACTATTGCAGCATGCAGCATTTTCAGTTATGAAACACGAGCCTGGGTGATGAGTTCGCACTTGGCATTCCCAGGGCGGAAACCTGAGCCTTCCAGCAATTCGGACACACGACTGCATCTTCTCTTCATTAAGCTCTGCCTGACCTTTCCCAGCCGTTCCCCATGCCTGGAAGCTGGCTCTTACCCAGCTGCATGGGACAGGGAGCAGCATTCATGGTACCCCGGGATGGTCTGGAGTTTCCCCCCCACATGCCCATCCCATTGCTCCACCACTCCATCTTTGGAAACCCACCTGGGATGGGAGAAGGGAAACAAAATGGTTTGTTGTTGGGGTTGGTTTTTTGCACGAACGCTTATTGGGTGTGGAAATCAAAGGTTAAAAGTCACTTACACAGCTATTGCTTCCCATGCAGAACCAAATATACACCGTAGAAAATACTGTAGTAACTACAATGCAGAGCAGCACTCAATATCTGCAATTGTTCCACTTCAGCTTTAAATAGGTTACTAGATTTTAGCCACTAGACATCGGTTAGCATTTTGGTGATATTCACATAGTTTGTGTTAGCTAGGGTGCAATTGGCTGTCTTCAAGTTCTCCTCCCTAAAATCCTCATTGCTATTATTTACGCCTTCCTGAATCTCCATATAATCAGACTTACTAATAGTAGAGGCACTTCTGCTTTTCTTTAGGTCAGGGGAAGAGGGGATCTTTGGGCAGCTGGTTACTTGCAAATATTGAGCCTGCTCCTCTCCCTCCGTCTCCCGGTGGTAGAAGTAATTGAAGTTAGACACTATGACGGGCACTGGTAAGGCAATCGTTAATACGCCAGCGATGGCACACAAGGAACCCACTATTTTCCCCCCGATGGTCGTGGGGACCATGTCTCCGTAGCCAACAGTCGTCATGGAAACCACAGCCCACCAGAAGGCATCGGGGATGCTCGGGAACTGGGACTCACTCTCGTCGGCCTCGGCAAAGTAGACGGCGCTGGAGAAGAGGATGACACCAATGAAGAGGAAAAATATCAAGAGGCCCAGCTCCCGCATGCTGGCCTTGAGAGTCTGCCCCAGGATCTGCAGCCCCTTGGAGTGCCGGGAGAGTTTGAAGATCCTGAAGACCCGCACCAAGCGGATGACTCGAAGGATGGCCAAGGACATGGCCTGCTGGCCTTGCTGACCATCCTCCGGCTTCTCGGCCATCTCTGTCCCTAAGGTGATGAAATAGGGAATGATGGCTACGATGTCTATAATGTTCATGATGTTGGTAAAAAACCCAGCCTTGCTGGGGCAGGCGAAAAACCTCACCAAGAACTCAAAGGAGAACCAGATGATGCAAAGTGTCTCCACGATGAAGAAGGGGTCTGTGAAAGAGGTGGACTGCTGGTACCCCATGCTGCTGTTGGAGTAGGGGGTGTGGCTCAGCCCACTGCCGTGCATGTCTTCATTCTCATCCCGAAAAATGGGCAATGTTTCCAGGCAAAAGCTGACAATGGAGATTAAAATCACCATGACGGAGACAATTGCTATAATCCTGGCAGGGCCTGAGCTCTCGGGGTACTCAAAGAGCAACCACACTTGTCTCTGAAACTCATTCTCAGGCAACGGCCTTTCCTCTTCTTTGATGTAACCTTCGTCCTCCCGAAACATCTCCATTGCTTCTTCCCCCAGTTCATAGAAACGAATCTCTTCTGAGAAGATATCTAAGGGCACGTTAACTGGCCTCCGCAACCTCCCACCAGACTGGTAATAGTACAAGATGGCATCGAAGCTGGGTCTGTTCCGGTCAAAGAAATACTCATTCCGGAGCGGGTCGAAATATCTCATTCTCTTTTTAGGATCCCCTAGTAAGGTCTCTGGAAACTGGGCTAATGTCTTGAGCTGTGTCTCAAAGCGCAGCCCTGAGATATTAATGACCACCCTCTCGCAGCATTCATGGTCGGTCTCAGGGTTATACGTGTCCTGTGGGTGACCGGGAAGAGCTGCAGCTTCATCTGCAGGATCTCCAGTAGCAACTGTCATATTGGGGTTTAAAAGAAATCCTTATGCTAAACACTTCCCAGTGCCCGGTGGTGGGATTGGGTTCAGGGCAGGACTACTATCCTGCGGAAGGACAGGTACGTAGGTTTGGAAGTGTCTCATGAAAAGGCGAAGGGATGAGAGAACAAAACAAGAGAGAAAATAAAAAAGAAAAGGAAAGAAAATTGCCCCTGCTGAGAAAGAGAGAGATGAGATAAAGTTGGGGGAGGACAGCAGCTCTCTTCACTAGCACGTTTACCCCCTTCCTTGCAGGGGGTGTAATTTGCTTTCTTTGGGACAGAGTTCAAAAACTCCCATCTCAACCCATTAGGTGGAAGAGAGGAAACACCTGAGGAACTGCCACCTATTCAAACCCAGTGTGGAAAACCTGGCATTGGCAAACCAGGACTAAAAATAAAAATTCCAATTAAAAAACAAAGAAAAGAGGGGGGAGGGAAGAGCAAAGAGGGAAGAAAAATAACCCCATCCAGCCCCAAAGTGGTGAGGGGACCCGCGGGGTGCTGGGTAGAGGCAAACCAGGCTCAGCTCATTGCTCATTCCCAAGCATGCAGCTAAGGGTTAACATTTAACCGTGCAATCTCAGGCAACCTGCCCCTCTAGGAAACCTCTAGCTCCGGGTTTAAATTCGACACCTTCCCCATCCTCTTGCCGTAAATCGAGGCGACATGCTGCCCTCCCTGCCTGCAGCCAACCGGGCAAGCTCAGCGGCTGCCCCACGGACCACTGCAGGCCCCCTCCTCAACCACTGGTGTCCCGGCTCCTGTCATCCTCTGCAAACCGCCATGGCACACAGAAAACAAATCACATTACCTGGAGAAGCCAAATCTTAGTGTCTCTTTAGTAACACCGATTATCTGACCCTGGGGAAATCCTAGAGAGAAATACAGGCTTCCAAGATCCCCATAATTTCCTCTCTCTTCAAAGTTAAAAATAATGGTGAGTCATCGTAGAAAAAGGAGAAGGGACATAAAAGGGGTTAGATTCCCAGATGGTGGAAGTCAGGTCTTGTAATGGTTTGGACTGGAGAGGGAGAGAAAAGAGAGAGACAGAGAGACAGTGTCTTCTCGGTAGCTGTTGCAGATCTGCACTTCAGGGCAGATGAGCGTCTGTCTGATGCCTCCGGTACGACGGTGAGAAGATGCTAAGCTCAGCAAACCCCGATGTCCCCAGTGTCCTCGGGAGGTGTGGCATCGCCTGGAAAAAACACCGAGAAGGTAACGAGCTGCTGGGGGCTTGAAAGGAGCATCTGCAAAGCCCTGGCTCCTCCAGGCGTCCCGCTGCCTGGCCAACCCGCACTGCAACACGAGAGGAGGGCGAGAGCGCGCTAGCGGCAAGGCGGAAAAAACCAAAGCCCCGTCTCCCTGCGCTCGCCCTCAGCGCCGCGGCGTGCAGCGGGGCCGGGCTGCCCCTGGAAACCGGTGCCAGGCAGAGGAGAGGGGGGGAAACGACGCAGCCCCCGCCCCTGCAAAGCCCCGGTGTGTTCCCTCCATCACCAAGCACCCATGAGCCGGTGGTACCCACTGGGCGCAGCTCCCACGCCATTGCGTCGCGTTCCTGGGTGATTCAGGAGGCTCCGGCTTCATCTGCAGCACTGAACCTTCCACCGATCCCTGTGTGTCCCCACCGAAGCCACCTGCCCCCAGCCCCTCCAGGTGCCTCCAATGAACCCTGAGCATCGTGGGCCTGACAGTGGTACCCACACGACCTGAATCCCCATCCTCCCCAAAGCCAAATCCCCAGTTTGACCCACCCCATGGGAATTCGACTCCAAGAATTTCTCATGGGGATGTTGAGGCTCCTGTCGCCAGTGGGTGCCAGGTCATCTCCATCCCTGCTCCTAAGGAGCACCCGTTCCCACAGCCCTGCATTGCCTTACACCGTGGAGATGCTCAACCCAGAGAGGTCCAATCAATCTCTCATTTTTCTCCTTGATTCTTTTTTTCCCTCCCAAAAGAAAAATAAACCAAAAAATCCTCTAACCTCCCTTCTTCAGCTCCAACTCCACTTGTCTACTTTGAGCCAGGATTACAGAACCGGGTAGGGGAGGCAGGTGGAAAATAACCCTGTGGTCCCAAACTCCTCAGCAAAGATTCCAGCCGTCTCCAGGCCATTTATGCCTGTTGGATCCTCTCTTCATCACCCGAGGTGCAGATATTGTCGCAGATCCCTCTTTTCTTGGAAATTTCCCTTTTCCGTGCAACCCTCCTCTCCCTTCTCCTTATGCACTAGAAAAAATAGTACAACCCTGACAAGGCTTGCAGCATCCAACCGCTTCGCTTAACCCTTTTCTGCCAGGCCCACAGCACAGGAGGCTGCATTTGTCCCAGTTTTTCTCCTTTTCCTGCATTTTCTCCCCACCACTTGGTTCCCAACCACTTGCTCAGGAGTTCAGCTGGATTTGACCTTCCCTGCCTCCTCTGAGCATCACAGTAAAGCACCACAAACCCCATCTTTCTGCTGCTGCATCTCTGGCAGCCACAAACCCCCATTTCACCCCAAATCGACCCACCTTCAATTATTTTTTGCTCAAAGCAGTTTTTCCTCCTGCCCATACACTCTCTTCTCCCCTTTCCCCCTTCCCAAAACACCACAGCTTTGTTTAACAGCACAGAGATTTACTTTTCTTTTTAATATGTTGAGTTTTATTTGCCATGAGGTCCAGGCTCCTTCCTTCTCAGTCCAAATCCAAGCAGGGATGCTCAGTGCTTACCGAAGACAATTATGGCATCATCTGAGTTAACATCACATATCCCAGCACTCAGTTTCCCCTACTTTCTCCCCATTACATGCTTTCTGGCAAACACCCCCCCCTCTTCCCCAAGCATCTTTGGGGTTAATTCATGCAAATTTGGGATTTGGGAGGGGAGGGCATGGAGGAGGTGAAGATTTGCCCTAAGACCCTCGGTTTCCCCCCTGCCTGCACAGAGCACCGCAGGCAGGAGCCGTGCCTGTAATGAGGGGGGGTGAGATTCCGGGTGGCACCTCGAGGACAAGGTCATGTTTGTGACTCAGCCACGACCCCCTCCATTTGCACGGTTTATGCCCAGGCTGTATTAAAGCAGGGCAGGAAGGGGAAAGGGTGGAAGGAGAGGGGGAAGAAGAGAAAAAGGCACCAACTTACAATTGGCTCTGCAGTCAGGCATGCGGCGAATGCACAAGCAGCCGCTCTGCTCTGCGCCGCTGCTGGCACCTCTCACCTACGGCCCCAGACTCCAGGAGTCAACCCCCAAAGGCAGCAGAGCTTCTCCATGAATATTCATAAGATTAATATGAGCGTCTTCCCCCCCTCCTCCCCTCGCCTCCCTCCTCCCAAGCAAGAGACCTAGATTTCGACCACTGGGAAATAATCATATCCCTGGATACGTGATGCTGCTTTACTGATCCATACCATATTCTTGGTAATAGCCTGGATCTGCTCGGGGTGATCTGGGGGATGGAGAACCACCGGCTCCATGCAGCTTTGGGGAAGGAGATGGGGAAGGTTTGGACTCACAGGGACCACACTGCTCTGCTCTTGGCTGGGGTGCAGATGTTAAAAGCAGTATTTTTCTATCACTTTGCATTTACCAGCCCCACTTCATAAGGAGGAATCTCCCACCCCCAAGGTAGAAGCTCCTACAGACTTAGCGAATCCAATCTATGGATCAAACCCTGTTAGGGCACAAGGGAGATACATCTGCTTAGATCCCTCTGCCATTTCCCCATGGCCCTACGAAGAGCATCAGGGCAGCAACAAGTCCTGCAAGGTGCCTGGCACCCGGCAAACATGATGGGTGTTCCAATGATTGCCTCCATTCCAGAGGAATAGAAAATAGTTCTATTCCCATACACAGTGGTCAAGGAGCTACTGGTGCCAGTGGCAATTGCCCCAGGGACGACAACCCAAGATGAGGTAGGAGGGCAGGGACCACGCTAAATACCCAAGAAAATCAGTTCTTAGACTAACTCCCAGCCATCCAGGGGGATGTGGAGACCTGGCAGGGCTAACCCATGTTATATTAGCTGCACAAGGTGCCAGGAGCAGCGGGTGTACCCCTGGGGGGTGAGGGGGATGCTCCTCCCAGCACCCCTCTTCATCCTGAAACAAAACTCTCTTTCCCCAAGCCCCAGCCACATCCCAACATTGAACATGAATTTCTATCCCTATGGCAAAATCAGGAATCCTTCCCTCCCTGCTGCAAAGAGCCCTTGCACGCATGGGTTTCCTTACTGTGTGCAGCCAGCAGGACAGGAGGCTCCGGATGAGGGTGTTCAATGTCACCTGCAGGGTTTTAGCCTTTTCTAAGGGCAGATCTGCCATAGAAGGGGAGGTTGAATCCAGAAAACGATTTGCCCCGTGCTGGTCCTTATTCAATGTGAAGAAACTGAGGCTGGGCAGAGAACATCTCAAGTGCAACTGGGTTTCTAAGTTGTTCTTCCTGCTGCCGCCTTGGGAAGGTTCTGCAAAACCAGGGATTCTTTCACACCCAGACAGCAGCAGCTCCTCACAAAGAGGCCGAATCCCGGCTCCAGCAAATCAGGGGAATTTCCCTGAAATGAGTGACGTTCCCCTGCTTTACTATCCTAATTGTGGAGCTATTCATACAGTCTGTGTGTCTGCACTCGCCTCCCTCAGCCACGCTGACAACTCCAGACGTAACCCAGGCTTTCAGAGAACTAGACGCGCTGATGCGCTGCACCCACTTGTCTGTTTTACATGGATTTAACCAGCCAACGTCTCTGCATCAGTATTATAAGTGAAAAGAAAGTCTCTTCTGTATTATTTCTCTCATCTAAATGGACTTTCTAGTCACCCAAACTGGAAACCTTACCCCATTTGTGTGCGTGGCCCTGAGCAAGTCACTTAGCACAAGGATGTGGGGTAGGGGAACCTCAACCCATCCCACTCCTACCAGTTTGATGCCAGAGAGGGACCTCAGACAAGGGCCTGTAGGGACTGGACAAGGGGAATGGCTTGAACCTGCCCGAGGGGAGACTGAGCTGAGCTCTTAGGCAGAAGCTCTTCCCTGTGAGGGTGCTGAGGCGCTGGCACAGGGTGCCCAGAGAAGCTGTGGCTGCCCCATCCCTGGCAGTGCTCAAGGCCAGGTTGGACACAGGGGCTTGGAGCAAGCTGCTCCAGTGGAAGGGGTCCCTGCCCGTGGCAGGGGTTGGAGCTGGAGGAGCTTTAAGGTCCCTTCAGCCCAAAGCAGGCTGGGGTTCTGTGTTTTAATTGTGCTGCTGTGGGCTGTGATGGTGGGCTGTGAGGATCTGGGAGAGCTCCTGATCCCTCAGAAGGAGCATCACAGCCAAAGGGAAAACAGCAAATATCCCTGTCTGCAAAGTTAACATGAAGTTCTCCCTTTGCATTTCTCCAAGGTGTTTTTCATAATAAAAGATGTGATTGTTCTAAACACACCTCCTTTGGGGACCAGTCTGAATTCTCATTTGGTTGACACCACTGAGTTTCAACACCTTTGCCTCCAACAATGCTCCACCAGCCTGGACAGCCCATCTGGAGAGGAGCTGGGCACTCTCCATTGAAAACAGAAGCCATTTAGCTCAGAACACAGTAAAGAACCTCAGCTCCTGAGGGCTCAGTGAGGTGACTGTGAATATTTCATGCCAGGCTGCTGCTCGCTCCAGAGTTGCTAATGGATCTGCTGCCGTGCTGGCGCGGGGCAAGCATCGGTCCTAGGGGGCTGCTTCCACTCGGGCTGCTCCGGTTAAGAGGCTCTCAAAGCTGCTTTGTTTCACTTGCACAAACCAAAAGGACAGGACAAGCCAAATTAAGAAACAGATAAATCAATAGCCTCCTGCCAGCCAGGCACGGGTGCTTTCAGCTCTGGAAGGAAGCCCACCGGCACCCCAGCCTGCACGCCATCCATGGATGAAGTCCCACCATCCTTTACAAGGGCTGGGCTTTATTTAAGGTGTCATCAGAGCTCCTGTGTCCCCGCAGACTCACTGCAGACCATCACCTCTGCACCAAGGGGACCCAGTCGTGTCCCTGTGTCCTTCCAGTCCTGCTCCAAAGGGACCAGGAAAGTGGAGTTACTTCAGAGCTCCAAAAGTGCCTTGATCCAAGATGCCACCCAAATGACTGCTTAGCAAGGGCTGTGTGTGTGACCCCAAGAGAAAGAAGAGGCAATGAACATCTTGTTGATGACCTCTCTCAGGTCTGAACCAGCCCATGACAAATGGAGCATCCCTTCACCTCCCATTTCAGGGTGCGATGCTCACCAAAAGGCAGGGAAATAGGGCACAAGTTGAAACCTTCCATTGTTGAGTTTTATGGAAGAAAAGACTAAGGAGAGATGGAAGAAACCTCCAGTGGAGGTGGCCACATCTGTAGGTGGACTGCCTTTGCCTTGGGGGAGCAGTTGGGGGACCTCTGGGTATCCTCTACTCTGACACAACCCCTTTTAGCCATCAGTCTTGGAAGTGGCTCCCCATGCAGGTGATGACCAGGCTGATAGCATCACCCATCGCAATACAAATGGCACAAGCAGCCCCAGAGAGGCTAATTTTAGACCCTATTGGTCTCAGCCCCGTTGTCTGCTGCTGCTGGATGGGGACCCAGAGCTGTTGAAGGTCAGATCTGAGCCACGGAGTGAGAATTTCCCATCAGCCCAGACCTTCATCCCTCCCCAGGGCGCATGAGGACTGCAAATAAGCCAGGGAGAGAAGTGGTTTGAGGATGATTTGCTTCTTCTCTTTCTCCTACATGGAGATACTGCAAGGAGGAGATGCAGATGGTGGGGATGCTCTGGCTGGGATGCACCATCCCCATGGGCATGATGGCACCATGGGCACTGCGGCAGCTTCAGCCACGAGATGGCACTGCATGGCACAGTACAGAGAGACACTGAGCCCTGGGCTGGGCCAAGTTATGGGGCTTCCCAGCCCCATGGCCCTGCCAGATTGTGAGCCAGGCCAAGCCATGGGTTGTGCCAAACAATGACCTGTGCCAGACTGTCAGCTGGGCCAAACCATGAGCTGGGCCAAACCATGACCCGTGCCAGATTGTGAGCCAGGCCAAGTCATCAGCTGTGCCAAAATGGGCCAGACCAGGTCATGAGCTGTGCCAAATCATGGGTCATGCCAGGTTCAAACCATGCCAAACTCTGCGCTGTGCCAGCCCGCTCTGATTTGGTCCCCAACCTCGCCATAGGCCCCCGGCTGCCCTCACCATCATGTCCCTGCTGCCCGTTCCCTGCAGGGTCTCTCCTTGGAAGGTCTGTGCCATGGTGGAAGATTCCTCGAAGAAAACCCCAAGGTTTTGTGCACTTTCCTGAAGGTTTTTGAGGAAATTCATCACTTTATGGCCACTCTCCTGCTGTGAAAGTGGCTGGAGATGCCCCGTTGTGGTGACACTGATCCAGC